TTTTTTTTTTTTTTTTTTTTTTTTTTTTTTTTTTTGTACGTTTTAAATTATCGAAAAAAAAAGTGATTTACATAAAAAAAGTTCAGAATTTTATATTTTTTTTGCTTTTTTTAAAAGTGCAACACAAGAACTACTCCTTCATTATCTATTCCTTTCTAGTTCGTTCTCGTTTGCTATCTTTTTAGTCATTGTTCCACTTTTCACTGTCTGACAAATTAATCTGACCAGCAATTTCAGTTAACATTTTCAGTACACCGTTGTTTGAACTTTGCTTATCGGTTGAACTTAACTACAAAAAAATGTTTTTAGTTTTATGTTTTGCTCATAACACACCTGATTTTTAGTGATTATCCACTGCTAATAGCCAATTTTATTGTCGTATTAACTGGTATATTACGATAGTTTTGCATGAAATAAATGATAATAAATTTACCAACAAAAATGTGATTTTTTTCAACTTTTTTTTTTAAAAAATATATTTTGCAAGCTAAAAATTTGCATTTTTATAAAATCGGAACAAATTTACTGATGTTGCGGAATTTCAAAAAATATTTGTTGATTTGTTTGTTCAAAAAACTGTCGTAGAAATTTCAGTCAGCGGATGAACCAAGCAGTTATATTTTTATCGTTGATCTAATATTCAACCCAACAAATACCAGTACGAACTGCTGTTTAAGTCTACTCAGAACTGTTATTGCAAAGTGTGTTCGCTGATCCAGTTAATACTAGGATATTTTTTTCCATTATTAGTTGATAAATTGAAGTAAGTGCAACATGAATAGATTTCTAAATTAGAAAATTCTAATCCAATTTTAACTTTCAGTTGCCCAATAACTTTTTTCTGTAACGATAAACATGTCCTTAATGTAAATTGATCACGCTAAAAGATCAAATCAAATTCCTTGTGAATGCAAACAAATAACTGAGTATGGATAAACAGCTTAGTTAGGAACACAATAAAGCATACAAAAGTTAACCATCTCATAGGTAACGATTACCGAAAAAGTACCAACAGCTACTCAATCACCTGTCACCGGCAACAACATAAAGAAAGACCACAAGAAAGTGTTGAGGATAGCTGAACAAAGAAGGAAGACCTTTAATTTTAGAAGACCGACTTTCTGAACCTAATGGTTAGACGTCTTCTAAACAGCCCGCTCTTTGTAACAAAAATCATCCTTTATTTAAGAAAACTTAATTTATTCAGAAAGTATTGAACAGGATATTTAATAAACTGATGATTAAAAAACGCCATAGCACATTGCTTTAGTTCTTTCAGCGGTATTGCAGGCGTTATTTTGCCCCGCAAATAAATGCTTCCCATAATCTGCCATAGAGCTGCTATAATCTTTTTCGCAGTATTTCAAAACTAGAAATTGCAAAAATAATTTTATTAGCTCTTCAAAGCCCTTATGGCCCATTAATTAAGCGAAAATAAGCAGATATCTAACATAAAAAATTCTGCAGCAGAGTCGAAATTAGAGACAACTGGAGCCCTTGCTTACACTGTACAGCTGTAAGTGTAGTTTGATTAAGCATTTCAAAATTTTGTTATTGTTCCGTCTTTGCGTTTTTGAGCAGCACTGCTCTGTAAGCACTGAACAATTAAGAAAGTATCCTGTTTTTGGAAACTAAAATATAAATTATTTAGATACCATTGGAACAGTGGCGAACAAATAGACAGGGGTCATGCGATGAACGAAGAGTAAATACAGTTAAAAAAAATTTTGTGAAAACAGGTAAAGCTGACGAAACAATGCTGTAAAAGTAGCCAGCAGCGCGTTCAAACAGTATAGTCTGATTAAAAAAATAACATTTTTCAAATTTCAGTAAAATTATTAACTTAGTTTACTCTTTAGCAATGCTAAAAAGTAAAAAAGGAGACACTACTCAATAGTATTCTCGAGGAACAAAGGTGTAATTTTAAATAACTTGAGATATTTGCGAAATCGACAAATATAGTTTATAAGCAGAATTTTTAGACAATTTTAGAAAGCATTATTCAGCTTTATACTGCAGGCTTTCTTCCTGTTTTCTGTATATTTCCAAAGCTTCTTTTTCTGTTTATTTACTTTTTTATCTCGGTTTACAAACTTTGCTTGTAACCTCTAAACCTAAGCTACTTGCTGAGATGACAACTACGCAGGAGACATTGCATTCCCATGCTTAGTGCTATATAATTGATGTATTTGACAGTCATTGGCGTTTACAGTATTGATTCTCCTTGATTTTGACGACCCCATTTTCCACGTAGCATTCATGACTCCCATAACTTTTTCTTCAGCTAGTGTGTTTGTTGAGAATATTAAGAACGAAAAAAGGAATAATGGTTCTGGCAGCTGTAAAATGTTTTTCAGCATTATCATTTAAAAGTAAGTAATCATCATTGCTATAAGAAGTCTAATTAAAAATCTGCTAAGCTTATCTAATAGATTTATTTCCGATTCGTCTCTTCAAATTTACACGACAAGAAATGCACCACTTCTATTTGCATTGTAAATATTAGCGTAATAGATATCACCAAATAAGGTAGCTGCGCATAAGACGATCCCTCTTACACGATTATTCCGTTACTCCTAGAGATAAATTTTTTTTCCGAAGACTGCACAATATCATCTTTTTTAAATTGCGGTTCAATTTGCAAGTTACTTTGCATTTTAAAGACAAGTAACTTTTGTATAATTAACACTGCCATTCTAAGTATTAAATCGCCTCAAAAAACAGGGAAATGAAGGTATTTTACTTTCTTAAATACAGCTCTTTGGCGTATAAAGGAATATTTCTAATGCTAAATTTGCTTAAGAAATGCTACTTCTTGAATTGCCCATCTATACTCTATTGCCTTACCTTAGCTCTCACTAATATTCAAACCTTTCTTTCGGTTTTAACTCTACCTTTAATGCTTTTATTTAAATGCTAATTTATTTAAATGCTAAGACCCATTTTTCTCAAGAACATTGAAATGGCGCTGCTGCAGTCATTGAAATGCTTGCTGTATCGTATGAACAGACATTTACAAAAAAAACTCTTACAATTATTGCTTTTGAAACGAACCAGTAACGGAAAAATCATTGCAAATTTGGCAGCTCAACAGAGACATCTTATTTTCAGACCCAAAACTTAAAATCGGCTCTGGAAGCCAGTGAAAAAAGATCTTGTTATCACCGGTCCTTATTTTGAAAATGAGGACTATTAATGCTGCTTAAGGTGATTTTTGAGT